AGAGAGTGTCAGAGATTGTTGAGCCAAGGTACACAAATTCATGAACAACCTCCAATTCTTGCATGGAGATAGTAATAGAGGGAGGTGAGTCCACGCCCTGGCACATGACTTGTGTTTTCTTCAGGCTAATAGTTAGTTCAAAGTCTTGGCAGGTCTTGCTAAAACGATTTATGAACTGAGATGAGTACATTTATTGCTCTTGATAGAGGGCCAGAATTGTACAGTACATTAGTTAGAGCAGTGCACTGCAGCTGGGGAGACCTTGGGGGGAATATCAAATCCCTGCTCACTGGATGACCTTGAACAAGCTGCTGTCTCTCAGCTTAGAGTTCTTGACTGAAGCTACAGGTTTGCAATAATCTGGAGGAGAGATATTCACAGGAGCGTGTTCAGTTGCAACATATGACACATTTGCAATGCTTTTTTTTTCTCTGTTGCATTCCATTGTGGCTGGATGTGTATGCTGTGGGCATGTTGGGGCTGCATGTAACATCACACGATGGCAACTTATGCCCCCTCTCAGAACCACAGCCATCCAAACTATGGAGTATCTGAATAATCCAGAGCAGAAACAAACAGACTGGGCTCCATTTTAAACTACAGTTCTGTGATACAATAGAAGTCCCCGTGGATTCAATCTAGTTTTTACTGAAAGTATAGGTGTGGCCCTTGTGAAGATGTTTTGTTTTTTAATTTCAGGGAAAAAAGTGCTAATTGTCTATGCACACCAAGAGCCTAAGTCTCTGAATGGATCTTTAAAAGCCATTGCAGTGGAAGAACTGAGTAAACAGGGTTGCAATGTTGTCGTTTCTGATCTATATGAAATGCAGTTTGAGCCAAGAACAACTAGGAAGGACATTGTTGGTAAGTATGGAGTATGTTGTTAAGAGCAGAGCATGGAAAGTTACTTTTAAAAAGCAAATTGTTTCTGTAACTCTTTATGGTGTAAAACTGTGATTCCTTTTTGTTACTCATTGCAATGTTAAAATTCATCTGTTTGTTCATTACATTGCTTGTTACTTTTAATTTTAAAGATAAGAGGGAACAGAGTGGCCTAAAAAGCTTTGAAAATTCGACTCTGTATGCTTTCAAAAATTCAATTAAAAGATAACTAGAAATATGCTTAGAAAGTGTTACTCGTTATACACAAGTATATATATTTCTTTTTTGCTGTGGTAATATAAAGGTGAACATATATTATTATAACACATTAACCCATTAGTAATGTCTTAAAAAGGAAGTAGTTTCCAGTCCAAACACAGTCTTGAAAAATGAGTTCTTTCATGCCCCATCCTTTCCTCTAAAGAACTTAAGGAGAGTGGCTGTTAAACCAGATTAGCACCAAAAGGTAAACCAGTACCACATTGATTGAAATTGTGAAAAGTAATAATGTTGAGAAAAAATTAAAAACAAAAAAGGTATTGAAGATAGTAGTAATAAATTTTGAAGCATATCTAAAGAAACACAACCTGTCAAATATCTCACAGAGCTGTCACCTGAGATAACACTGTCCACAGCTCTATTTGTCTCCATCTGCACTGGAAAAACTGTAACCCCAGAGCTATGGCAAAAAAAAGAGAGAGTGGGTCAGCTCAAAAAAAAAAAGGAGCAAGATAGATCACTAAGTCAAAACACATGTGGATACTGCAAATGGTGTTTGGTATTATAGAATTAAGCCCTATTAAAGAGGTAATCTGTTTGCTGGGAGACACTTAAGAGGAGATGGCGAGGACTTCATGCACCTTCTGAAGCCCCAGGCTTTTGTCCTCTATAAAGAAGTCTGAGACATGCAAGACAAGAGGAAGAAGGCAGCATCCTCAATCTCTCCAGTAGCAGGTCCGTTTATACAAGAATAGACCTTATTCAGCTAACAGCATGAGTTACGAATGAGTACAGGCTAGATTAGCTAGACTTTCTTATGTTTCTAAGTGTGTACCTTCTTTGAAAAGATCCAGGATTGATTTTGTAACGCGTTGTGATTTGATCCATTTTATCAAGACATTTTTGAGTAACATTTTACCTTTCTGAATTTTGTGTAATCATTGTACCTTTTTCCTGATTGTTTTTCTTTCTTAACAAGATACATAAAATCTTTTCCAGGATTTGGGTGGATTCTTGTGTATAGAGGAAATCTGGGTAGTTACTGCTGTTGTCTGAACCACTCTACCAAGCTATTGGGGGCTTGAAGTAAGAAGATGTGATTGTGGCAGTGAGAAATGAGTGCATGTGGCACAGATGTGTAGCGTTTCCCAAAAGGCACAACCACAGGGAAGGGTTGAGTGCCAGGAAATGGAGGGGAAATGGTCCAGGTGGGCTTGATAGGTGCCTTCCTTGAGTTTCCCCACCTCACGGTGGAAAGAGCTGGGAAGCAGAGAGTGTAGGAGGAAAAGGACCAGGGCAGCTACAGCTGGTATCATCACAGGAACACGAGCAAGCCAATGAACACATGGTATGACAAGACAGCTACCCCTATATAAATCTCTGTTTAGAAACTGGAAGTATTTGACAAATTTTCCTGCAATGCTTTTTAAAGGAAGATTGTGTACCTTGTTTCCCCCATAGGTAATCTATACAATCCAAAAGAATTCAATTATGGAGTTGAGGCGTGGGAAGCCTGGAAAAATGGGCATCTATCTGAAGATTTGATTGAGGAGCAGAAGAAAGTGAAAGAAGCTGACTTGTTGATTTTCCAGGTCATTATTTTTTCAAAAGGGCTCTTGTGAGAGCTTTTATTGTAGATCACAGATAAAGAATGTGTGACCCTCGATACTGTAAGACCACAACTCCCATTATTCCTCACCATTCGCTATGCCCATTGAAGTTGAGAGGAAGTGGGAGTCTGACACAACATTTGGAGGGCTGTACTTGAGTCTGTGCGATCATTTGATGGGACAGTCTAGCAAGGAACTTTCCATTCTACCTGCACAATGGAAGTTGCCCTCAGCCAGCACTGGGACGCCTTTCCTGAGGCAAAAAATGGTGGGTCAGATTGGGCTGTATGATTTTGACAAAAGAAGTATGTTTCTGTAAGATGGGAATAGAGCTGAGAAAAATGAACCTGAGAATATACAGATAAAAGGGCTTGACTGTTTCACAAGGTACTTATAAACATCTAATGCTGTCCAAGCACCACCTCCAACAGCTTTAGACGAGAATTCTATTCAAAAAATTGTAGCTATAACCGTTGTTGACCTCAGTCTAGGATATTTTATAAAGGGCAAGTGGAGCAGCAGCAGGAGGACACAGGAGGGGCATTTTACCTTGCTTTTTTCAACAGGAGAAAAGCAAACAAAAATTCCCCTTGTCGCCCCCTCCAGTCTCCTCCTGTTTTTGACAGTGGGCTGGCTTGTAGGGACCAAATAGGGTCACTTCAGCTCCATACGCCATTTGAGTGTGAAGATTGCACCAAATGGCATGCTGGACCTCCTAACGACCCTGTTTAGCCCACTCAATCCTGTCCCAAAATGGGTATTTAGGCAAATCCTGGGCCAATCTTTGTACTGCTCCTGAAAGCAGATCAGCAAGAAGGTATAACAGTTCATGAGGCGAACCCTACAAAGGTAGGTCCAGCTCTTAATAGTATGGAATCACTCTTAATTCCTTAAAACCAACAGGCTTCTTCCTTTTCTTTTTCTTTAGTTTCCTTTATACTGGTTCAGCATGCCAGCAATCATGAAAGGCTGGATGGACAGAGTATTTGTCCAAGGATTTGCTCACGATTTCCCAAAATGTTATGATTCTGGTTTGCTCAAGGTATGTAGACAGTAAAATCTTGTTATGTATAATTAATTGTAAGAATAGTCTTGCTAGCCTGTGAATAATCTTAGATTGCTGTATCAAAATCAAGGTTTTGTTTGAACTAGGATTATAAAATGATATTTTTTTCTTCTTTGCTTTTTTCCAGAACAAACTAGCCTTGCTTTCATTTACTACTGGAGGAGATAAAGGAATGTATTCAGATGGAGGAGTTAGTGGTGATATCCGTTATCTCCTGTGGCCCATGCAGGTAAACCTGAATATCTGTGCACCATACCTGTCACAGGAGATCCTCTTGGCTTAAAGCTGAGGACTTGGGCACTTGGTCACCAGGGTGAGGGTTTGATCACCAGGCCTCAGGTCAGGGAGCACTGGCAGTCCTGCCATTAACTTCCTGCTGCCTCTGCCTTCTGGCACTGCTGGCCTCTTTCTCCTGCCTCTGCTGCCACACCCATTTCTCAGTCATCTATGGGTATAAGGCAAGGCCAAAAGTTTATGGGGAGGAGTGGCTTGTGACAGACAACTTTTTTTGGCAACCTCTCTCCATAATGCCTTAATTCCCAAGAAGACAGAGCTTTATGCATGAAGTCAATGGAGCAGGAGGCGTGCTAGGGAGGAATGGCTGAGCGAAGAGGCCACCAATGCCATCCGCCCCTTGTTTTTGTCGATGTTGGTGGTGTGAATGTGATATCATGGCACTGAACAGGTGGGTGGGTGGGGCGAATGAGGCTTCTCTTCCACCATTAGATGACCTTAATTCCCAAGAAGACAGAGCTTTATGCATGAAGTCAATGGAGCAGGAGGCGTGCTAGGGAGGAATGGCTGAGCGAAGAGGCCACCAATGCCATCCGCCCCTTGTTTTTGTCGATGTTGGTGGTGTGAATGTGATATCATGGCACTGAACAGGTGGGTGGGTGGGGCGAATGAGGCTTCTCTTCCACCATTAGATGAGTCAGGGAGGGGCTGGGCTTCCTGAAAAGTTGTGTCTAAACATATGTGCAGCAGCTATATTGAATTCTCCTGTATAGTGCAATATTAATGTGTTGCGCGATAGGAAATTGATTGTGAAGGACGTGAATGAGAGGGATGTGTTTTATGTGTAATGTGCTGTTTTTTTAATGTTATGGATGCTATGTTCTTGTGTGTTTTATCATGTGTACTGGAGATGGCATTTAATTTCATTGTACGGAAGTACAATGACATAAATTCATTCATATGTATGTATTTATTTGTCCTTTAAGAGAAGGGATAAGCCAGCAGGTTGTGCAGAATCAAGCAGGACACTGTCATTGCTGTCCCCCAACACCTGCCAGCTGGGGTAGTGGTCCATGAAGAAGAATGTGGATGGCCATTATGTGGCAGAGGAAATAGCTTGCCTGTTCTGGTTGGAAAAATCTGAAAATGCATTTGTGGCAATTGGCCCTGTCACTCCTGCCACTCACACTCAAGAGCTTATTTGCATGAGCCTATGAGAGAGCTGGAGAGGCGGAGCTGATGGATGTATGAGGCTTGGCTGAAGGAGAAGCAGACAGATAGGGATCAGAGACGAATCAGATAGAAATAGGAGTAATAGCAGTGAGATAGGGATGAGTTAGGAACTGGTTAGGGGAGATAAAAAGAACTGGCTAGAAAGAGATAGGTTGGTGGTGTGTTTATGAAGCTGTAAACAAAGAGAAACAAAGTAATGAGGGAACTGATAAGCTAAGACCAATGAACTTTGGTTACCTGAAAGATTTCTAATATTGTTTGAAATACAGTACTGTTTCACTTCAATAAATATGCTTTGGTTGTTCACAAGAAAAGTGTCCAGTTATATGTTAATGGCATTGTGGATTCACATAATCCATTGGTGGCAGCAAAAAGGAAATTTATTTATTTATTTATTCATTCGATTTATACCCCGCCCCCCTAGACAGCGTCTACTCGGGGCGGCTTACAAAATCATAAAATAACATTAAATAACAATAAAAATATCATAATCATAATAAAAAAACACTCATCATAAAGCATTTAAACAATAATATAGTATGATCAAGATGGGAAATGAAGAACAGAAAGACAGAATTCAAGAGTTGACAGGAGGGAAGGCCTGCCTAAAGAGCCAAGTTTTTAAATGGCTCTTAAAAACACAGGAATGCGCCTGTGGGCCTTTGTGAGGGAATAAACAAGGGACACGGGGTTTGCGACAGCATTTATACCCTCCCCACAGTAGCAGAGATACCACTGGTTTGTGGTTCCCCCACGTCAGTCTCAACAACATATGTAACTGCTGTTCATGGAGATCAAGCAGATCACATGGTTTCAATTCATATGCAAAGTAAGCCATCTCCCCCCCCCCATCACATCAGGAACAGTTGCATAATAATTTCCTGGGAGTAGCCACTCTGGGTAAGGGTTTTGGAGCATGTTACTTTTCATTATTGTTAATGTGTCATCAGTTCTGGCTTCCAGTTTGTTTCTAGGGTGCAATTCAAAGTGCTGGTTAGAACTTTAGAAGCACTACGTATATGGTTTTGACAAGGTAAACTAAAAATCCCCCACTTGTTGCATTTATATATGGAGGCTCTGCTCTGGGCCTTGTCACACTCTAAAATACAGTTATTTGGGATGTGGAAACGTTCTTCTCAGTTACGGCACCTACATTGTGTTCAGTTTGTCCATCTCCCTGAGCTCCTGCCAAACTCTGAAGATTTCTGGGTTGTCCAACCTTCTCTTTGGCTAAGCTTCTTTTCTCTTCCCACTGACTGATGGGATTTTAGGCTGCATCTCTTATCGTGGAGCAGAACCTATCTAGGATGTATGTTCCCCTGAACTCAGTGGATGCTTTTTCTAAGGAGGAATGAATATGATTGCAGTCATCACGTCAGGAAGAACAGCCTTGGAACCCACCACTTCATCCAAAGCCCTGTTTGCTCAAAGCGTGGCATAGTTCATAGATGTGGAAGGGGAGAGTGTTGGATGAAGACTCTGCCTGTCTGAAGCCTTCCCTAACACATCCCCGGGGTACTCCTGACATTCCCTATTTTAGCCTCTGCTGCTTTCCACTGCCCCACTGGATAAATTTCTAGAAATGGAGGTTTCTTTCTCCTTCCATTGGTTGAGGAGCTATTCCTACACCATTCTACAACCCCAAGCTGGCTGCCCGGGTTGTATGCTTTTCTGTGCTCTGCTTGCAAAATATGGTTGCTGGCTTTGTTTTCATTAGATTTTTCATCCTGTGTTTACGGGAGCTGCACAAAGAGATCATTATTAGCCCTAAAAGCAAAGTATAAATACACACAGAGAAAGTATTCCTGAAGAGTATGACAACATAATCCTTCATGGATTGGAAGTTGTAACTTTCATGCCTAAGACTTATCATGTGCACAACTATATGCATTTCTGAGAAAACAGGACATATCATTGATCCTACAAAAAGCTTGCCACAACTTGCTTCATCTTTATGTTAGTTTTTAATACCAACAGTGATCTATACTCTTAGTCAACTATTTCTCTCCCTCCCTCCCTACCAACAGTGTACTCTTAGTCAACTATTTCTCTCCCTCCCTCCCTCCCTCTCTGTTTTTCTTTGAGTCCAGCATGGAATGCTACACTTCTGTGGCTTCAGCATCCTCGCCCCTCAGATCTGCTTTGCGCCAGAGTATGCGGCGCAAGAGGAAAGAAGACAGATGTTGACTTCCTGGCAGCAGAGGCTGAAGACAATCTGGGAAGAGGAACCCATCAACTGCACCCCCGAGTGGTACTATAAGTGATGGGCAAGAAGAAATGTCAGAGATTCAGATTCCCCTTCCTCTCCTCCTTTGGTGGGAGGCCTTTTGTTCGCTGCCATTATTTCTCTTTCCCTCATCACTAAACACTTTCCCTTTGCTATGTGGAGATAATGAGTAAAAGGGTGTGGAATCAGATGCCTTCTCTGTCTAAGTGCCTGTTGCAAACCCATTTCCCTCACTTCAAGGCTAATCAGGCAGCAGAAAATTGATTACTTGGCAATACTGAAGGAGAAAAATACAGTCTTGGTTTTGCAGCACACAGGACGGCATTGTGCCTCGGTGTCGTTGTCCAAAACGGCAGCTAAGGTGCCAACTCAGGGACCAGAAGACATTTTAGTCACTATGTCCTTATTTTGCCTCCACTTTTGGTAGTCAAAGGAATGTCCTCCTGTCGACTCTAGACTTCATGGTTCCCTGTGAGTTACTGGCACAGAAACAGAGGCCACACCTGTTGTGTTGTAGAAGCCAGAATTGCTAGTTTTCCTAATTCCTCTTAACTGATAATAGTTCAGCTCAGCTTATGTTACTACACTGCATAAATACTTTGTGTGCTGTGAGTATACTGTGGTGCCATGACAGAAAATACATCACCCTGGTCTTCTATGTCAAGACACTTTGGAAAAGTGGGTGCCAGGGACCATGCCATATATTAGTCACTAACTAGTATTTATAGCACTGTCTCTGGCTCCCTCTAGTGGCTGGTTCTGGTAATGCATGTGATTTTTTTTCTGGACTGTTTTTCTTTTAAATATAGTGGTGCCTCGCATTACGACATTAATTCATTCCAATGAAATAGCTGTAGAACGTAAACGTTGTTATGCAAAAATAAAAACCCCATTGAAATGCATTGAAACCCCTTCAATGCGTTCCAATGGGCTGGAAACTCACCGTCCAGCAAAGATCCTCCATACGGCGGCCATTTTCCGTGGCTGTCTTGCGAGAAATCCGTCCCAGAAAACAGCGGGGAGCCATTTTATTTACCCCAAAGCGAAAAAAACCCATTCAGACCATCGTTTTGCGATCGCAATTGCGATCACAAAAAGATCATTGTAATGCAGTTTTGTCGTAATGCGGGGCAATCGTAAAGCGAGGCACCACTGTATTTTCAGACCATGAATAAGTGAATCAGTGCAGGTTGATCCTGTGGATAAGGAGGCCCTACTGTACATAGTTTTTTTCCCCTTCAGTGACCTATACAGTGCTTCCTAAGTTCCAATATTAAACTTGGTTGCCAATGTAGAAAATCCAGAGCTAAAGCATCCCTGATAAGTGACCATCTAACCTCTGCTTAAAAATCTCCAGTCAAGGAATCTGGGGCAGTCAATTCCGTTGCTGAATGGATCTCACTGTAAGAATTTCTTCATAATGTTTTGCCAAAATCTCCTTTTCTGTAAGTTGAATCTCCCACTTTTAGCCCTATCCCCTTGAGTTGTAAGAAAGAAGCCTGCTCCATCTTCCATACTACAGCCCTTCAAATATTTTAAGATAGCTATCATGTTGTCTCTCAGGCTAAACATACCAAGTTCCCTCAATCTTTCCTCATAGGGCTTGCTTTTCAAATCTTATATCATTCTGGTTGCCCTTCTGTGGACATGTCCCAGCTTCCCAATATCCTCCTTAAACTTTGGTCCCCAGAACCGGACACAACACTCTAGGTGAGGTCTGACTAAAGCAGAATAGAGTGGCACTATTGCTTCCCTTGAGCTGGACATAACACTTATGTTGATACACCCTAGTGTAGCATTCACTTTTTTGGCTGCTGTTGGATTATGTTCAGCTTGTGATCTACTAAGACTCCTAAATCTTTTCCACATGTACCATTTCTCAGCCAGCTTCCAACCAACTTATATTTATGCATCTGATTCTCCTGCCCAAGTGCACTGCTTTATATTTTTGCCCGTTGAAACTCATTTTGTTTGTACTGGCCAAGTTCTCCCTAATCCATTAAGGTTGCTTTGAAAACTGACTGTGTCTCCTGATGGATGAGCTATCCCTCCAGGTTTGGTGTCATTTGCAAATTGAATGAGCCTCCACTCTCTAAACCCTCATCCATGCCATTCATAAAAATAATGAACAACACTGGGACTCGGAGAGAATCCTGTGGCACCCTACTTATCACTCTCCTTGAGAATAATGAGAAGCCATTAGTTAAAGGTAAATGCCTGCTTCAGAAATGGCATATACAAGTAGTCTGGTTTTCTTTTTCCTTTTTTCATTTCAGTACTTGAAATTGCAAGTTGTATAACATCTTGCGGCTGGTAATAAAATGGAACAGATTGTTATCTTTTTTGGCACATTCCAAATTAATATATTTCTTGCTTTAAGGGCCATAGCAGAACCTGCAACCTGACACGCTTATTAGCATATTCTGCGCCATCATGTGCATTCTATATTAAGGGTGCCAGGACATGGTCTGGAGGCAGATGACACTGCAGCCTTTCCAAAGCAAAGCAGATGGGTGCCTGGATATTGAGAGTGCTTCCAAACAAACAAAATGGGTGGGGTAGAAGTCCAATAAAATAAAATAAATAAAATATTTCCATGCAATTTATTAAGAAAATACAGAGCTGGCAACTCATGTATTGGAATCAGCTGACCATATTCCATTGCCAGCAGCGGATAAGGCTGATTTCCTTCAAACAGAGATTTCCCAGTGTTGTTTAGTTTCATGTCCAACTCTTCATGACCCCATGGACCAGAGCATGCCACTGCCTCCCAGAATTTGGTCAAATTCATGTTGGTAGCTTCCCCAGTGTAGGACTATGAAAATCAGCACTAAGGTATCCTCAGTGTTGATCTTTTTTTCAGGTAGGGGTGTTTTCCAGCCCTCCATGGATGAATCTGGGATCATCTGCATGTCAAACACAGCCTCTGTTGACAAACTACAGTACTGTTGTTCCCCATCCATCGGAACCACAGTGCCTGAACTTAACTGTTCTAAGGAGCTGTGGGTGTGGGCAGGAAGAGTGGCAGCTCGGCTGTAAATGAGGACCTTCTGTATTATGTGTTTATTAATTGGAAGAAGAGGTGTCAGTACTACTGTCCATTGATTTATAGTGCATCTGTGCAAAATAGACACTGCACTGGCAGAAATCCAGACTACCAAAGGGGAAGGGCATAGCTTAGTCTTATCAGGCAGCATCTTGTTGGCCATTGGCAGCAGTTGTTCAGATAGAGATTGCAGACCCCATGTCAACAAGGTTTCTGCTTGCACAAGGCAGTACTGAGGCTAAATTATCATTCTGCGTGTGCAGTGACCGAACAGGATTCTGCCCATTGATTACAAGAACGATGCATTTCTCCCCAAAGACACATGATATAATATATTTGCTCATAAGATCTCAGCCATAACTGAGATCGTTTATTGCAACCTAACTTTGTGCTTTCAGCAAACTGAATGGGTGTTTCTCCAGTCTTTGCATGGAAATGAGTTCTTTCTGCCACTTGCCATTTTTGTTATTTATCAGTATAAGGCAGGTTTTTATTCTAGGTTCCAGCTTTAGCTGGAATTGTAAACACGCTATGCAGGCCATGCATTCATTGTATGCAGATATAAAAGAGCTGAAACATGTGAGATCCTTATTTTCTCTTGTCTGGTTTGTGGTTATGTTTTTAAGGGTCCCCTCCCCACTTTATAGAATTCACTCCATGACTTCTATGTTCTAGCACACCGTCACATATCCCAGCATGTTATTGCTTTTTAAAGAGAAGATCTGCCCCCTTTTGTCCTCCCAAGTAATTTGAACTTCAGTTTCCAGAATCCCAGTGAGGACAGACAATGTTTAGGCATTCTGGGAGTTGAAGTCCAAAATGTCTGGAGGGCCAACCACTGAGAACCTCCTAGCCAACAAGCCAAACCTACTTTTCTCAGTCTCTGGAGTAAGCTGCAGAAAAATATCAATAAATTGTATAACACTTCTAATACTAATAGGGTTTTTTAATAGCATGAACTTTACTGGGCACCTGAAACTCTTCCTCAGATGCATTAAGGGTGGCTTTGCATTAGAGATGGGGACGAATATAAAAACGGATTGGCTTTTTCAACAAAAATAGCCAATTAGTTAAATAGCCGTCCTTTCATATTTGTGGGTTCCAGAGACCCCCATGAATACAAAGGGACAAATATTTGCCTGTTTTTATTCGTCCTTCATATTTTAAAGAAAAAACAACCATTTTGACTACCTGCTGATCAGATGATCAGTGACAGAAAGGCAGCCACACACAACCACAGCCACCCAAATCCACAGCCTACCCCCCATTCCCTTCCTTTCCCTGCCTTAGCCCTCCCCCACCCCTACCAACACCCCCTTACCATAATTGCTGCCAAGGTCTGCAATTATTGCTGCAGGATGTAAATTCAATAAATAAATAAATAAATAAATAAATAAATAAATAAATAAATAAATAAATAAATAAATAAATTTCACTCTCACTAAAAGCGCTTTCTGCCAGTAAGATGGTGTCCTCTGCATATCTTAAACCACTCATGTTTCTTTCACCAGTTTTCACTCCTTCATCTGACTCTACTCTGGCTTTCCATAGCTTCTTGTGCACCATATGGGTTACCCATCATTATAACTACAAACCATAAATGGCTGAATAGTTAATACAGTAGTACCTTGGTTTACAAATTTAATGCGTCCTCTGGGACATTACGTAATGCAAAAAAATTGTTAAACCGAAATGCGAATTGCCATAGGAATGGGGGTGGCACTATAAACCTCCAGGCGCAATGCATTTTAGGGCAACGTCCTTCGTACTGCGGGAAAAAGAACGTGAACCGAGGCATTATTTTCAATGGATTTC